TCCACATTTCTGGCAGTTTCTACAGAAACACGTTAAAGTACCTGGCCTTCCTCTGCAGGTAGATGAACACCAATTCCTTCTGAGGCCCATACCATTTCCAAGTCCCCAACTGCCTCTTTTGGTGGACCATGTGAAGCATGCTGCCCCACAAGACCAAGTGAGGCCAGGCTGCTTTGGACCACCTCAAGATGTTTGATGGGATCCCACTCCACTATGACAAAAAGTGAATGGTGGCTGCTCTCAATGTTGTGTGCCTGAAGCCTGTGAGAAAGGTTGCCTACCTGGGGCTCCTGGCTCATGATGTTGGCTGGAAGTACCAGGCAGTGACAGCCACCCTGGAGGAGAAGAGGAAGGAGAAGGCTAAGATCCTCTACTGGAGGAAAAGACAGCTTACGAGGCTACAGAAACAGGCTGAAAAAACATGGAGAACAAAATTGACAAATACATAGAGGTCCTCAAGACCCATGGACTCCTGGTCTGAGCCCAATAAAGACTGTTTATTCCTCATCCTTGGCCTGGCCTGCCCTTCTTTGATTGCTGCCCTGGGATGTGGGGGACCCAGGAGGGGCAGTCCAGGTGCCATAGGCAGCCTGGGACGTAGGAGGCTGGGGATAAGGAGCAGACCTTAGTCACTGCCTTTTTATAAGGTTACTTTAAGCCACTCTAAGAATTGTGCAGACATAATTTGCCTATGACCTACTTGTTCATGAAAGAATTTTAGAAGATCAGTAGTAGAAACAACCAGCAACTTTGGTTTCAGTAGTAGTAGCAAAAGAGAGCTGGAACACTGTTTGGAGGGAGACTCTACCTTGTGAATAGGGCATCTGTTTTTACTTCCCACCTGGTCATATGCTATACTTTGTAGCTGTTAGAATGTGAAACAACACTTGGAGGACAGCATGAGTTTGCTGTTGTACAGAGGGTATTTATAGACACATAGACTAGGAACATGTGCGACCAAGGGGTTATAAGTGTTGCCCTTGCTCCTTCCCTGTATTTTGTGATCAGAATCAAATAAATTATTTTTAAAGGGAATAAATACACACACATACACACATGTAATTTTTTCTTTCTTCTTTTTTGAGACAGTCTTGCTCTGTTGCCCAGGCTGGAGTGCAGTGGCACAATCTTGGCTCACTGCAACCTCCACCTCCCAGGTTCAAGTGTTTCTTCTGCCTCCACCTCCCTAGTAGCTGGGACTACAGGCACATGCCACCACACCTAGCTAATTTTTTGTATTTTTAGTAGAGACGGTGTTTCACCATGTTGGCCATGTTGGCCATGTTGGCCAGGATGGTCTCGATCTCGACCTCATGATCCACCCGCCTCGGCCTTCCAAAGTGCTGGGATTACAGGCTTGAGCCACCGCACCTAGCCCACACACTTAATTTTTAAAAGACCTAACAAGTAAGTCACATCTTATTAGTAATGTCTTACAGTAGGCCTTTGGTGATTAAAACAAATTTTTTTTCATTGTTGTAAGTATTCTCAGCATTTTAAATAAGTGAGTATGTAGAGTGGTACATTTATAGTGAATAAAAAAATACCTTTTTTGCAGCATAATAGCCATTGAGTATTGCTCAGCAAGTAGCATTTCTTGAAACATGCCTATGTTTGATAGTATAGAAATAATGTAGCATTCATTTTTTTGAAGTTACTCAAATTGTGTACTGAATCCCTGAGGAATATAAAAAAGAAAAAAAACTCTGCATATACATTTTTGGTACTCTCTGTAATGGAAGAACCTTTTGAAACTTAAAAAAAATCAAATAATGTATCTAATTTATAAATTCTTGTTGCATTTATAAATTCTTATCTACTTAAAGTGGAGCTCACTGGATTTGTATTGGTTTCTTCGGTTTATTTTCTCGGGTTCCGCCCTTTGTCCATCATAGTAATAATATGGATCTTTCAATGCTGTTTAAGAATATTATAAAGTCATTGGCCAGGCGAGGTGGCTCACACCTGTAATCCCAGCACCTTGGAAGGCTGAGACGGGTGGATCATCTGAGATGAGGAGTTTGAGATGAGCCTGGCCATCATGGTGATGAAACCCCATCTCTACTAAAAATACAAAAATTAGCCGGGTGTGGTGGCGCGCGCCTGTAATCCCAGCTACTCAGGAGGCTGAGGCAGGAGAATCGCTTGAACCCTGGAGGCAGAGGTTGCAGTGAGCCGAGATCGCACCGCTGCACTCCAGCCTGGGTGACAGAGCCAGACTCTGTCTCAAAAAAAAAAAAAAAATTATAAAATTATTACACAGTAATTTTATGGCACTAAATTACACATTGGGGTACTAATTTTCTTTCTTTTAAAAAATTTTTTAAAGAATTAGAAATTGAATCTTGCTGTGTTTCCCAGGCTGGTCTTGAACTCCTGGCCTCAATCGATCCTCCTGCCTTGGCCTCTAATTTTCTGAATAAGTAAATTAACATTTCTCTTTGATCTGCTTTTGTTTATTTTTAGCTGAATCTACAATTTATATGAAAATACAAAGGGCCAAAAGAGGCAAGACAGTTTGAAGAACTTTATTAAAAAAAACCCAACCAGATGTCAAGACTAGTATGAAACTATGTAATTAAGACAGTGTAGTATTGGTACATGATTAGACAACTAGAGCATTGGAACAGACAAAAGAGCTAGAAAAGTCTGTACTTGATATATTCCCACTTTATATACAGTAGTACTCTACAAGCATGTAAATGTTTGGCCAAATGAATGCTGTTAATATTATGTAAAATTATTTCGTTAAATATTTATTACTTCAACTAAAAAAATAAGGAGCTTAAAAAAAGACCCACATGTTTATGCATTTTTGATTTGTAGTTACAGTGGACATTTTTTATAGTATGGAAAGGGTAATCCTTTCAATAAATTGGTAGGAGAGTTGGATATCTGTTTCTCCCTGCTGCTTTCCTTTCTTTGTGTCTGTCTGTCTTGTCTCTCTATATATGTGTTTCTCATACATATGAAAATAGGAAACTTGACCACTGCCTCACATGATACACAAAATTTTTTTTACAGATTGATAGTAGACATAAATGTGAAGGACAAAATGGTAAAGTTTCTAGAAGATAATGTAGGGATATCTTTATGATCTTATAGAAAGAAAAAGATTTCTTTGACATGACACAGAAAGCACTACCCCTAGAAGAAAACATTGACACATTTTACTTCATTAAAATGGACAACTTTTCATCAAAAGACGCAAGAGAAGATAAATCATAGAAAAGGAGAAGGTATTTCCAACACCTATACTTGGCAGTGTGCTCATTTCTAGAATGCATAAAGAATTACAAATTGATGAGGAAAGAGTCAGTAAATAGAAAAATGGGCCAAAAGAAGCTATCCAAGTGGTCAGTGAATATACGAAAAGATTCCCATGAAAAATCCAGTGGGATACCACTTATTTACTGGACGAAAAGATTCCCATGAAAAATCCAGTGGGACACCACTTATTTACTGGACGAAAAGATTCCCATGAAAAATCCAGTGGGATACCACTTATTTACTGGATTGGCCAAAATAAATGGACTGACAGTGTCAAAAGGATGCAGAGTAGGTTTTGTAGAGGTTGACACATGTGGACAGGATCACCGAGATCTCTTTTCATTTGACTTGTATTTGGGTTTTACTAAGGGATGTATCAGCAGGAAGTTAGAGGGCAGAAGAGAGTGAGGTCTCCTTCCCTGCTGAGTCACTTAGATCTGTTGCCTCTTTCTTTCCAAGGCCAGTTTCTGTGACGGATCTTTGGTATAGTTATCCTTTCTAATTTTTGGTTATTACTTCCATGTTCTCTTTTAGGTCTGTGGTTGGTAATGACTCTTGCTTTTGATAGCCCCAGGGAATGGCACTCTCTGTAGTTGTTTTCTCAAGATCCTGTCCAAATCTTTGTAAATGGCCCTTTATTAAACTCTCACCCTAATGTAAATATGTTGTGTATTTTCTACAAGGTCCTCAATTCTCTTTTAATACAAAAATATGCAATGTGGAGCAGGGTTATTACAATGTCAGCACTATTGACATTTTTGTCTAGATGGTTGTTTGTTGTCAGGGACTTTCCTGTACAGTGTAGGATGTTCAGTTCCATCTCCAACTTCTAACTGCTAAGTGACAGTAATACTCCTGTAGTTTCGATAACCAAAAATGTACGTAGGTATTGCCAAATGTTCCCTTAGGGGCAAAAGTGTCCTTCGTTGAGAACCTCTACTCTAGAGTTTTAGTTAACCTCATGTTATGTATTATTTCATTCAACAAATATTTACTAGATGTTTACTGTATGTAAGTCATTGTTCTTAGAAATGAATTAGACATCTCAATTAAGTATACAATTTTGCCATATTCATACAATGGGAATTACTATGCAAGCATTAAAAATGATGGTAAGAATGATATATGTAATGTGAAAATTTGTCCATAAAATGTTAAGTTAAAAAAGCAGACTACAAAGTGTTATGTGTACTGTGACACTCTTTGTTTAAAAAAATTTGTTTGACAAGTGCATTTGTGCATAAAGTCTAGATGGATTGGGCATTAAACTGTTAATTATGATTCTTTGGATGCTCCTGTTTTCCTCTGAATATTCTGATGTGTTTTCTAAGATTTTTGCCTTGAATATGTTATTTATAATCTGAAAAAGAAAACATTAGGCTTTTATTATTTAAAACGTATTTAAAAATGAACATATATACATATATAAATGACCGTGTTAGAAAGTGATTAGTGACTCAGAATAGACATAATATGTCATTAGGCTTTTAGGCAGTTTGAGTTTATTTGTAGCTGGATAAATTAATTAGGATTAACTAGAGAAGATAAGGTTGATTTAGACTCAACGATATGCATAGAAGAGTGTATTTCAGGAAGAAGTTTTAATATAGGCAAAGGCATAGGTGTGGAAAAGTGCCAGGTATTGTGGTAATGTAGTTTTGGAATCAATTTCTCTCCAACTGTGTTTTTGTATTTATTTTTAAATTATTTTATCCTTTTTCTTCATAAAGGTTTGAAATTGAAATTGAACCCATTTTTGCAAGTTTGGCTTTATATGATGTCAAGGAAAAGAAAAAGGTAAAATTATATAATTTGACCATAGTCATTTGTCATAATCATTGGTTTTGGAAACCTGTTTTGTTTTGTAAGATTGGTTTTTTTGAGAATTGTTAAACGTAGATCTTTTTAAAAAGGAAATAGAAATTTAATTTATTAGGACTAGTTAAATATTTTTTTATTATAAATTACTGTAATTGAAAACAGGTTATTGTTTCACTGAAAGAATTCTAAAAGTAAATAGCAGAAGCAACTTTAAGAAATAGAAAAGACAATACAAGAAAAGCACTTTTGGCAAGCAGTACCTAACGATAGGAATGACAATGACTGTGAAGTTTTATTGACATGATTTTCAATTTCTCACCAACTAAAAGACCATTTTTGTGTGTTTTACATATTCTGTTTTAATGCTCTTAGTTTTACCATCATATAATCATTAAATTTAACTTTTTGGAAGGTTATTTTACAACATTTCTTAATTTAATATTCTAAGACTAATATGTAGTAGAAACTTGAAGTGCTGACTGGGTGCTTGTGGCTCACATCTGTAATTGCAGCACTTTGGAAGGCCAAAGTAGGAGGACTGGTTGAGGCCAGGAGTTCAAGACCGGCCTGGGCAACGTAGTGAGACCCCCCGCATTGCTACTAAAAACAATTTAAAATTACAAAAAGAAAAAAGGAAACTTGAAGTGCCCTCAGTGACTTCTGCTGCCAACACAAGACATATTATGGATTTCTTTAATGGAATTCTGCTCTAGCAACTTTTATTTGCTAACTCGAAACTGCTGAGATATTATTCATAAATTTTTTAAAAACTCAATTTGGAATCCATCATCTCAATGATAATATCTTTGTGTACTTTATTAGAGGTTACTTTTTTTTTCTGAGATGAAGTCTTGCTCTGTCACCAGGCTGGAGTGTAGTGGCGTGGTCTCAACTCACCGCAACGTCTACCTCCCAGATTCAAGTGATTCCCCTGGCTCAGCCTCCTGAGTAGCTGGGACTACAGGCTTTGCCACCATGCCTGACTAATTTTTTGTATTTTAATAGAGACGGGGTTTCCCCATTTTGGCCAAGATGGTCTCAATCTCCTGACCTTGATCCCCCTCCTCTAATTAAAAGAATTTGGAATATGGTTGTTTAGAATGTGCTTATTGTATTTTCCAAATAGCTTTTAGACTTCTTTTACTTTGATTTAGGTATGTAAAGATTGGTCTCAGTGAAATATAAGCTTAATATTAGAGTATAATATCCTACTATCTGTAGATAAATAAGTAATGATTTTTTTGAGAATTATTTAACATGAATGTTTTTAAAAAGAAAATAGAAATTTAATTTATTAAGATTAAATGTTTTCTTATTATAATTACTGTAATTGAAAACAGGTTATTGTTTCATTGAACGAGTTCTAAAAGCAAGTAGCAGAAGCAACTTTCTTTTAATTTAAGAAATAGACACTGTAAAATGTACAGATTTTGAAGTTTAACATATTGATATTTTTTAGATTTCAGAAAACTTTTATTTTGACCTTAATTCTGAGCAGATGAAAGGGTTGTTACGTCCACATGTACCACCTGCTGCCATTACCACCCTGGCAAGATCAGCAATTTTTTCTATCACTTATCCTTCCCAAGATGTTTTTCTTGTAATAAAGGTGAGAATAATGTTAAATATATTTGTTTATTTTGTAGTGTCTGTATACTTGTCTGTCAGTATTATAAACTTTTCAAGGGCAAAGATTTAGCCTTTACTTATTTTTTTTTCATCTTGATATTCTGTAACACAATATTGGACATACACTGTAGGTGCTACCTAATTTTTCTTGAACTCTTTATTAGACTTCTCCAGTGAAACTGAACTAATAGGAATATGTGTGTGTGTGTGTGTGTGTGTGTGTGTGTATCTCATATCTGTTTTGATTATTGTAGTTTTTAAATAAATTTTCATATCAAGAAGTTTGAGACTTTCAACTTTCTTCTTTTTACCTAAATTTGTTTTGATTATTCAGGGTCTCTTGAGATTCCCTGTGAATTCTAGGATAGGTTTTTCTATTTCTGCAAAAAAAAAATCATTGAGATTTTGATAGGGATTGCATTAAATTTATAGATTGCTTTGGGTAGTATTCACATCTTAATGATATCAAATCTTTTCAATCCATGAACACAGAATTTCTTTTCATTTATTTGTGTCTAGTTTAATTTGTCTCAGCAATGTTTTATAGTCTTCAGTGTATATAGATCTTTTACTTCCTTGGTTAAGTTTATTTGTAAGTATCTTACTCTTTTTGATGGTATTATAAGTGATATATATTTTTTAATTTCCTTTTTCAATTCCTCATTGCTAGTATGTAGATTTTGTATGCTGTAACTTTGTTGAATTCATTTATTAGTTCTAACAGTTTTTTTTTTGTGGCATCTTTGAAGTTTTCTACTTAAAAGATCATAGCATTTGCAGAGATAATTTTACTTCTTCCTTTCCAATTCAGATGCTTTACGTATTTTTCTTGTTTAGTTCTCAGGCTTGGGCTTCCATTACTATGCTGAATAGGTGAGGCTAAGGTGGGCATTCTTGTCTCATTCATGATGTTAGAGGTAAAGCTTTCAGTCTTTAACTGTTGAGTATGATGTTAACTGTGGGCTTTTCATATATGGCCCTTTATTATGTTGAGGTAGTTTCTTTGCATTACTAGTTTGTTGAGTGTTTCTGCCATGAAAGGGTACTGAATTTTGTCTAATGTTTGTTCTACAGCAATTGAGATGTCATATATTTTTTTCTGTCATTCTGTTAATGTGTTATATTGATTTTCATATATTGAACCATCCTTGAATTTCAGGCTTTTAAAAGCTTAATCTTAACTTTTTTTTGCCTTTGACAGCTAGAAAAAGTCCTACAGCAAGGAGACATTGGAGAGTGTGCAGAACCATATATGATTTTCAAAGAAGCAGATGCCACCAAGGTAGAATGTCATGCTTCTCATTTCCCCCACATTATTACTATTGTAATTTGGGAGGATACTGTACAAAGCAAATTAAAGAATTTTACTAGTACTATATTTTTTTCTGTTGGCCTGCTTCCTATATTCCTTTCTTCTTTATTTCATTTGTCAGCTAGCCTGTGTCATATGCTGTGGTATTCTTTAAAAATCTCTTCTATCTCAAAACTAACTGATTCTTTAAATTTTTTTCTTCATGGAGAGAACTAAATTAATTCAGTTTAACTCCTAAATAATGAAAGGTTTTCTTTATTTATAAAATAGTGATATTGATAGAAATTTTCCTAGCAAAATAGAAATATTCTTGGCTTCCATCTGACTGCAGATTATTAAGGAATATAGTAAAAATATAATAGTCTTAAAGAAAAGAAAATACAGCTTTTTTTTTTTGCCATCAGATGGTTAATTTCTAGATTTTTTTTTCTTTTGAGACAGAGTCTTGCTCTGTCACCCAGGCTGTAGTCCGGTGGCGCGATCTTGGCCCACCGCAACCTCTGCTTCCTAGGTTCAAGCGATTCTCCTGCCTCAGCCTCCCGAGTAGCTGGAATTACAGGCATGTGCCACCACACCCAGCTAATTTTTGTATTTTTAGTAGAGACGGGGTTTTACCATGTTGGCCAAGCTGGTCTTGAACTCCTGAACTCAAGTGATCCACCTGCCTCAGCCTCCCAAAGTGCTGGGATTACAGGCGTGAGCCACCACGCCCAGCTTAAGTTCTAGAATATGTATAAACTTATAAAAGCAAAAAAAAGGTTGGATAATTGATAACAAATTTCAGATACTATGTGTTAGTTACAAGAATACAAGCGATCTTTGGATCTTTGAACACAAGATTTAATACTGGAACTTCCTGGAGAAGTATGCTTGAGGAATACTAGGTAAGCAACCCAAACCCAGAAAATGTTTTGCTGTTTTCCCAAGATTCAGAACAAGAACTGAGCTTTTTCTGTAGATCTGAGCACATGATATTTTTTTCTTGATCCTTGATTACCTGGCTGAACTCATGGTTAAAGTATAGTATTCTGGCTGTCCCCAGGTTGTCATTTTACACATTAAATTTGCTCTGTTACATAGTGCTCTTAAATATACTAGCAGCTTATTCCACTCTTTGCTTATATTTACATACACTGATAGAATTAAATATACTTGAAGTATACTTAAAACAAGAACTGTTTTAGAGGTATAATATAGATAGTAATAAATAGTGCTATCATTTAGTTATTGGTTCATCTTTTTCTAGCCCTTAGTCCCAAGGTAGGACACTGTCATTAGTGTATAGTTCAACATCCCATCTGCAAAGAGTGTATGAGAGAGGTAGTATAGGTTTTCAGTCTTAAGAGTGTTGAGTGGCTTTTGCAGGCCACCTTTATATTTGTTTCAGGAGTAGCCTAAAAGTTGAGCTAGCCTCAAGATGTCTTCCAGATATGCTTGAACTATTAAATATTTGGACCATTAGTCTTTTTCCAGTGTTTAGTCTTCTTCTAATACTTTTTACTTTCCTTCTTTTGTTACAACTCTGAGCTTGTTTATCATTGGCCTATTCGTGCTTCCCCACTCTTAACTCATGGTTGTTATAAGTTAGGGACTATTTCAAATTTGCTCAGCTACTTCTATCTTTTATAGAGTAACAAAATTTAACAAATTGTAACCTAGAATATTTTGTAGTTCCCAGTTGCTGACTAGACCATGGTTATGCTTCCTTCCTAAAACAAATACTTGCAATACATAATACCTGTTTGGTACTTGCTGTCTTCTCCCCAGAATAACATAATCACAAACAGAAATTTCAAGACCTGCTCTGCACGTACATTTGTAGAATACGTTGAGTTTGTTCACTGCTTAAGATATTACACTAATACTTGATCTCTGTAAGGTACAGATTTTTTTTTCATCTCTGCTGGGAATTGAGACTTCTCATCCTTTTCCTTTATGTAGTATGAAATAGCCTTTAATGGGTATCTTTCAAGAATAATCATATAATATATAAAGTTCTGTTTTGCAGAATAAAGAAAAACTGGAGAAACTGAAGAGTCAAGCAGATCAGTTTTGCCAAAGACTTGGGAAATATCGCATGCCTTTTGCTTGGACTGCAATTCATTTAATGAATATTGTTAGCAGTGCTGGGAGTTTGGAAAGAGATTCTACAGAAGTAGAAATCAGTACTGGAGGTAAGAGTGTTTTATACAAAACATTTCTAAATGTTTACTTTTTAATTTTTTTTTGAGATGGAGTCTTGCTCTATGGCCTAGACTGGAGTGCAGTGGCACGATCTCAGCTCACTGCAACCTTTGCCACCTGGGTTCAAGCAATTCTCCTGCCTCAGCCTCCCAAGTAGCTGGGATTACAGATGTGCGCTACCACGCCTGGCTAATTTTTGTATTTTTAGTAGAGATGGGGTTTCACCATGTTGGCCAGACTGGTCTTGAACTCCTGACCTCAAATAATCCACCTGCCTTGGCCTCCCAAAGTGCTGGGATTATAGACATGAGCCACGACGCCTGGCCTCTTTTTTCTTATATAAGCTTGTTTCATTTGTAGACTCTGCAATGTAATATTGCATAAAAAGAATTTTCTTTTTTTGCCTTTTTGCCTTTTTCTCATTTAACACCATTATTAAGATAGAATTCACATACCGTATAAGTCACCAATTTAAATTGTACAATACAGCAGATCTTCAAATATCTCATTTTGTTTTTGATTTTTTTATGATGTTGATAAGGAAAAGAATTGATTCCTGTCTGGGGCTACTGTCTGTGTAGAGTTTGCATGTTCTCCCCGTGTGTGTGTGGATTTTTGGGTACTCATTTCCTCCCACATCCCAAAGCTGTGCGCATGAGGTGAACTGGCATGTCTAAGTGGTAGCAGCATAAGGTAATGAGCGTGTGTGTGTGTGAGTACACCTGTGAGGGAATAGCATCCTGTCCAGGACAGGTTCCTGCCTGTCATGCTGGACCCCTATTGACTTCGGTATGTATTGCATCGTATCAGAGAGGCTGAAGAAGAGATGGGGAGCCAGAGAATGAGACCTAGGGTTTACTGAGGGAACTTACATACAGAGTTGCGAGCTGGACAGAAAACCACAGCCACTTGAAAAAGCATGCAATTTATGTAGCATTTTCCCTTAGCATCCTCCCCCTAGTAACTTCCACCTGGAAACCCTCATTTAACTCAAAACAAAGGACCTTGGTTCCGTGTATGGCCTAGATTTCACTGGATGGGCTAGAGGTTCAGATGTCTTTATCCTCATAGATAAGGAATGAATCGTCAAGTCTGGCCACTCCCAGGTTCCTTAGCTTGGAACTCCGAATACACATTCTTTTTAGACCACAGAGTCATTCTCAGGGTTTGCTTAAGTAACCGCTGTCAGGTGCATTTGCCATACACTGCCTTCTTTCCTGAGCTGCTGGAACAGGCTTTGGCCACTTGTGACCCTGAACTGGGATAATTGGGTAAATAATTATCCTACTTATTTTTAATTAATCTTTCTTAAATATATATATAGTGCACATGTATTTGAATGTTTAATATTAGAAGTGTTTTGAGTATTTATTTAGAAGTTTGATGAAGTTTTTGTGACCAGAAATATGCTGTAGGGACTTAACTCTTGCTTATATCAATTAACATATGGTAAAATTGATTTGTTATACAACGTATTGCTTAAAGTCACAGTTTCGAAGAACTGATCCGTGATGTTAAATGAGGACTTACTGTACGGTGTTTTCTTGGTATATTCATAGGGTTCTGCAACCACTACTACAGAATACTTCTGTACCCATCTTGGAACACTTTTGTACCCATTAGCAATAGTCACTCCTCATTCCCCCAGTCTTCCAACCTGTCCCTAAACAACGTTTAATATATAGTCTGTCTCTATAGATTTGTCTATGCCAGACATTTCATACAAATTGAGTTGTATAATATGTAGTCTTTTGTGGCTAGCTTCTTCCACTTATCATAATGTTTTTAAGGTTCATCCTTGTCATACCATGTATTGGTATTATTTCTTTTCATTGCCAAATGATAGTCTGTTGTATTGATATGCTGTATTTATTTATCAGTTGATTTGGGTTGTTTTCTACTTTTAGTTTATTATGAATAATGTTTCATAGTGTTGAAACATCATGTACAAGCTTTTGTGTGGACATTGTTTTTTTCTTAGGTATGTAGACATATAGCTACGAGTGAAATTTCTGGGTCATATGATAATTCTGTGCTTAATCTTTTGAAGGACTGCCACACTGTTTTCCAATTTGGCTGCACCTTCAAAAATTCCACTAGCATTCCACTAATGTATGAAGGTTCCAGTTTTGCCATATCTTTACCAATATAACATATTATCTGCTCTTTGATTATCGTCATTCTAGTGCAAGTGAAGTGGTACTCATTGTAGTTTGGATTTACCTTTTCTTCATCACTAGCTATATTAAGCATCGTTTGTGTGTATTGGCTATTTGTGTATCTTTCTTGGAAAAATAGTTATTTTTAACCTTTGCTCTGTTTTTAATGGCTTTTGGTCTTTTTATTATTTATGAATAGTTAATGCCTATTTTTTAAATGGGGTTTTAACCTTCTTGGCATTGAGTTGTAGGAGTTCTTTATATGTTCAGGATGCAAATTCCTTACCTAATACATGATAGCAAATATTTTCTCCTAGTCTGTGAGTTCACTTTTCTTGATGGTATTGTTTGTAGCACAGAAGTTTTAAATTTTGATGAAGTTACATTTTTCTATTTTTTTCTTTTGTCACTGTGCTTTTGGTGTTTTATCTAAGAAACCTTTATGAAATACGAATCAAAATTTACTTGTATGTATTCTTGTAAGAGTTTTATAGTTTAAGCTGTTACATTTAGGTTTCTAATAATCCATTTTGAGTTAATATTTGTATATTGTGAGGTAGGTGTCCAGTTTCATTTTTTTATGTGGATATCCAGTTGTTTCAGCACCATTTATTAAAAAGGCTATTCTTTCCCCATTGAATTGTCTTAGATCCCTTATTGAAAGTCAATTGACCATTCATGTGGGGTTTATTTCTGGACTCTCAATTCCATTCCATTGATATATTTGCCAATGCTGTACCACAGGGGTTCCTAACCCCCGGGTGGCAGACAGGTACCTGTGTGTGGCCTCTTAGGATCCGGGCCATAGAGCAATAGGTGAGCAGCGGCTGAGCGAGCATTATCGCCTGAGCTCTGCCTCCTCTCAGATCAGCAGTGGCATTAGATTCTGTTAGGAATGTGAACCCTATTGTGAACTGTACATGCAAGGGATCTAGGTTACGTGCACCTTATGGGACTCTAATGATAAATGTAATGTGCTTGAATCATCCTGAAATGATCCCCCTACCCCCATGTGTGGAAAAATTTTCTTCCGTGAAACCAGTCTTTGGTGCCAGAAAGGTTGGGGACTGCTGCTATACCGAATTACTTTACCTTTGAAGTAAGTGTTGAAATTGGGAAGAGTGGGTCTTCCAACTTTTATCCTGTTTCAAGATTTGTTTTGAAAATTTTGGGTTTCTTTTATTTTATTTTATTTTTGAGATGGAGTCTTGCTCTGTCGCCCAGGCTGGAGTGCAGTGGCCGGATCTCAGCTCACTGCAAGCTCCACCTCCCGGGTTTACGCCATTCTCCTGCCTCAGCCTCCCATGTAGCTGGGACTACAGGTGCCTGCCACCTCGCCCGGCTAGTTTTTTGTATTTTTTTGTAGAGACGGGGTTTCACCGTGTTAACCAGGATGGTCTCGATCTCCTGACCTCGTGATCCGCCCGTCTCAGCCTCCCAAAGTGCTGGGATTACAGATTTGAGCCACCGCGCCCGGCTAGGTTTCTTTTATTTTTATATAAATTTAGGACCAGCTGTTAGTTTGTGCACAAAGGCATCTGGGATTTTGATAGGGTTGACTTTGAATCTCTTAAGTCAATTTATAGATTGTTGCCATTTTAACAATTTTAAATCTTTGAATCTATGAACATGAAATTTTTTCATTTATTTAAATCTTTTTCATTTTTTTCAGTGTTGTGTCATTTTCAGTGTACAAGTCCTTCTCGTTAAATTTATACCCTAGTATTTTATCGTTTCTTGATAATATTTTAAATGGAATTGTTTTCTTAATTCTGTCTTCAGAATGTCCATTTCTAGTGTATAGAAATAAAATTGACTTTTGTATATTGATCTTGTACTCTGAAACCTTTTTGAATTTGTTTACTAAATTCCAATTGTTATTGTTCATTTTTTTCCCCAGATTTTTTAGGATTTTCTGTATACAAAATCATGTCATCTGCAAATAAAAAGAGTTTTACTTTTCTTTTTCAGTCTGGGTGCCTTTTATTTCTTTTTCTTTTCTGTCTTTATTAGAACCTCTTCTGCAATGTTTTAGAAATGACTAGAGTAGATATCCTTGTCTCATTCTTGACTTTAGGGAAAATGCATTCAATCTTTCACCATCAAGTATGATATTTGCTGTTGGCTTTTCATAGATGTATTTTGGTAGATTGAGGAGATTCTCTTCTATTCCTAATTTTTAAAAGTGTTTTTATCATGAAAGTCTGTTAGATTTTGTAAAATACTTTTTCTTCCTCTATTAAAATTATTTGTCCTGTATCCTTTTAATATGGTGTTCCATCAAATGATGTGGTTTTTGGATGTTAAATTAACCTTAAATTCCTGGGAAAAGTCTTGCTTGGTCATGGCATGTAATCTTTTTTATGTGTTGTTGGAGTCTGCTAGTATTTTGTTTAGGATTTTTGCATTTATATTCATAAGGTGTATTAGTCTGTAGTTTTTCTTTCTTTTGATGCCTCTGTCTGGTTTTGGTATCAGGGTAATACTGGCCTCATAGAATGAGTTGTGAAGTGTTCCTTCCGTTTTTTTGGAAGAGTTTTTGAAGGATTGGTATTAATTCTTTGAAAGTTTGGAAGAATTCACCAGTGAACCTGTCATGGCCTGGTCTTTTCTTTGTGGTAAGTTTTTTCATTACTAATTCGATCTCTTTACTTGTTTTGGGTCTATTCATATTTTCTTTCATCTTGAGTCAGTTTTAGTATAAATGCTTTGTATCTTTCTAGAAATTTGTCCGTTTCATCAAAGTTATCTAGTTGGTAGCTAATCTAAGTGTTGGCCTACAGTTGTTCATAATATTGCTGTATATTCCTTTATTCCTTTTACTCCGTAAAGTCAGTAAATGATATCTCTGATTTCATTCCTGATTTTAGTAATTTGAGTCTTCTTCTTTTTTTTTTTTTTTTTTTTGTTCATCATTTTAGCGAAAGATTTGTCAGGTTTATCTTTTTGAAGAAACAGTTTTTGGTTTAATTGATTTTTCTTTGTGGTTTTTATAGTTTCTATTTTCCTTATTTCCACTCTGTGGTTGTCTCTTTTGTAGCCTTCTGCTGGCTTCGGATTTAGTTTCTCTTCTTTTGAGGTTTGTTGAAGTCTGAGGTTATATTACTGATTTGAGATAGTTATTTTTAAAATAGACATTAAAAGCTGTAAATCCTCCCCCCAGCACTGCTTTGGTATGTTGTTTTTGCATTTTCATACCTCTTAAATACTTTCTAATTTCTGTTATTCCTTTTTCCATTAGCTATTTTTTAAATGTGCTATTATACTTACACACATTTGTGAATCCCCCAAATTTTCTTCTGTTATTGATTTATAGTTTAATTCTTCTGTTGTTGGAGAACGTATTTTGTATGATTTTAATCTCTTTGACTGTATTGTATCTTGTTTTATGGCTTAGTATATAGACTGTTTTATAGAATATTCTTTAAGTGCTTGAGAAGAATGTGTATTCTGCTCTTGCTTAGTGTAGTGTAGTGTAAAGTAAATGTCCATTAGGTCTAGTTTGTTTATAGTTTTGTGCAAGTATTCTATTTCCTTTTTAATCTTCAGTCTAGTTCTGTTGGTTTTAAAAAATAGGATGATCTTGCAAGTACTTTGAATACAAGTTATCTTACAATTTTCTTTCAAACCAAAGAGCTAAGACTGAGGGACGATTAATGATGACTAAAATTTCCCTTGTGGTAAATATTTTGTAGTAAATACATACTTCCTCTATAGCTGCTCTTCATGGCTCATCATTGGTCATGCCCATAGATCTTTGCATGTTAGAAGCTTATTTTTACATTTGTGACGTTATAAAAAGACAACCAGAAGATTTAGCTACTTTGTTACTAATCTCTCCAAAAGCAAATTCTCCTACTATGCTTGATATGCTGGGTGGGTAATTTTCAATTTAATAGATTCTTCCTTGTGTTTGGAAAGCTACTTTAAAACAAAATTTAAATTTTGTGAAAATGAATATTTTTTTTGTTTTTAATTCTTTTGTAGAACGAAAAGGGTCTTGGTCAGAGAGGAGGAATTCTAGTATTGTTGGCAGACGATCACTTGAAAGGACGACAAGTGGAGATGATGCTTGTAACTTGACGAGCTTTCGACCAGCTACTCTCACAGTGACAAACTTTTTTAAGCAGGTATTGTTCTGTCATGTAGGAATTTTGGGGAGATGTTTGTGCATGATTTTTTTTTAGTTTCAGAAAGGTAGTAATTGTACTGTACATGTATGCGAGGGTGATTCCAGGAAACTTAAAAACTTTAAAAATAATAAAAGCAACTGTAAGAATGAGAAATGATTTATATTGTTCCTATTATTTTAGCATTATATTTATTTAAATGTTGAAATGTTGGCCATGACTAATAATGCATCAAAATCCATCTTTCATATTTGTATCCTGTTTTTTTTTGCGACGGAGTCTCGCTGTGTTGCCCAAACTGGATTACAGTGGCACGATCTCAGCTCACTGCAACCTCTGCCCCCCGGGTTCAAGCAATTCTCCCTGCCTCAGCCTCCTGAGTAGCTGGAATTACAGGTGCCCACCATTCCCAGCTAATTTTTTATTTTTTATTAGAGACAGGGTTATGCCATGTTGGCCAGGCTGGTCTTGAACTCCTGACCTCAGGCGATCCACCTGTCTTGGCCTCCCAAATTGCTGGGATTACAGGCGTGAGCCACCATATCCAACCTGTATCCGGTTTCCAAATTGTTAATAGTGTGACTTTTCTTAAACATTGGTTGTTTATGAATTTTCTTTATGAGAATGAGTCTGTGACCTGCATGTCTTCCCCACAATTTCTGGCCTAATCTACCGTATTCATAATATATGAAATAAAACTTTCAGGCCCTAGTAGTGCATTTTGTACTAAAGTGAGGTCAGGGTTGTTTTTAGAGGTTAATGTATAGATCCAAGATGTTCTCTATCAAAGATGTTTTTACTCTTTGCAAACCTGTTCCCTTCACTTTTAACCATGAATCAAATCTGTGTTTTTCCAGTGCCAGTCATGATTCTTAATGATAATGAAAATTGGCTTAGTAGATAACACCCAGGTTAAAAAAGAAAATAAAACATGAGTAGAATAGAAAAAATAGTGCATTGCATGTAGTAAGGTTAAATATTACTTAAGGGAGTCGTTTCCCCCCTCCCCCTTTTGTATGAGCATACACGTGTGTATATGTATATCCTAGATTTTGATGTAAAATGGATTCTGTGTCATGAATTAAGATCAGAAAATTTTGAAAGTCTTTGTTGTAAGTGATTAGGTGACTAGAATCATATAGGAATGGGGAGAAAATTTGTATTCACGTAACAAACTGGAGTAGTATGTGATTTGGAGTGGATTAAGGGAAAATGCTAATAGTTCCTTCAAAATTCCTTTTTCTGAGATGTTATTCTGAGTAAGAAGAGGAAATCCTGGCTTACTGATATCTCATAACTTGAGAGGGCAAGAATCAAGGGTAGACCTCTATTGAATGGAACTCAAAAAGACAGGTAGCAGTCTACTTGAAGTCCCCTTCACTGTTACATATCAGTAGTATTCACAGGCAGCTGCTCTGAGAAACTCAGGAAAAAAAGCCAGTGATAAATGTCTCAAATGGTGTTGGTCTTTTTATTATGGACAGTAATAAAAGAGAGTCTAGAGAAGACTACACTTGCATAAAGTGATAGACCAGATATAGCTATGGAAATGGGGCAGTAGATTTGCTACAGTGACACAACCTTGCAGGTATGTTACTTCCCCCTCTTTCTACTTCTTCAGCTACTATACTACTTCTGCTGGTATTTCCTTCCATAGCTTTCTTTTCATTTCTTTAGCCTGTTATTTATCAATAAATTGGTATTGTAAGCTTAAATCAATAAGCTATCCACCCCCTGTCTATTTATCCAACAAGTATTTTTTGAGCATTCGTCACCATGTTCTGGATGCTGTTTTGAATACTGTTACTATAACTGTGAAGTAGCACAAAGTGATTGTGAAAACTTAAAAATAAATGATTGCTGGAAACATGGAGCAGTGGAAAATGTTTACGGTACAGAAACTGTTTAATACAGTTCTGTATTAAAAATTTTTAACCATGAGCATATACTATTTTTGTAAGTATTTTTAAGTAGCTAGAAAATTATGCATCAGGCAAATGCAAATTAAGTTAAAAAAAGAGATTACCATTTTAATTAAGTAGAATTCAAGGCATAGATTTTTCCCTAAATGAGACACAGAAGGCAATTTTTCCTTTTTCATTTATGAGAGATTACTGTCTACAGTAGGGATATAGTAATCATTAGTGTTTACGTACAGATTTAAAATGTGTTGGCCAGGCATGCTGGCTCATGCCCGTAATTCCAGCCCTTTAGGAGGCCAAGGCTGGAGGGTCGCTTGAGCCCAGGAGTTTGAGGCCAGCCTGGGCAACATGGTGAGACCTTGTTTCTATAAAAATGAAAAATATTAGCTGGGCGTATTGGCGCATACCTGTAGTTCCAGCTACTTGGGAGGCTAAGAGGGAAGACTTTCTTGAGCCCAGGAGGTTGAGGCTGCAGTGAGCAATTATAATGCCACTGCATTACAGTCTGGGTGACAAAGTGAGGTCTTGTCTCAAAATAAATAAATAAATAAAATATGTGAGGTCAAAATTATTAGAAACACATAGATATTTAAAAGCAAAAACCCACACAATAGTTTTGAATACATTTGTTCTATTTGTTGACAGATATGTAAGTTATCTATTTTTTTCAGTGGTACAGGACAATAAACAACTAATGTAGAGGAAAGGGTATCAGCGAGACTGCTCCAGTGAACTAGGCTCAATCACAAGTTTGGAGGTTGGCTGAGATCAGCTAATATAGGCTGACTTCTACTGGGAAGATAGAAATGACTCGACTCTTTGACATGTCTCTCAAATTCTACCCTCATCTTCTAGCAGGCTAGCTTGGTCATGTTCTCATAGCTGTGACAAAAGTTCAAGAGAGAGAGCAAACTAAATTGTGCAAATGTTTTTCAAGCCTCTGTTTGCATCATGTTTGCTTATTGGCAAAGCAAGGCATTTGGCCAAGCCTAGGGAGGGAATTGTGCTTCACTCACCAAAAAGGCATGGAAACAGGGAGTAAAGAATGGAGACCAGTAATATAATTTAAGTACCAAAAGAGAAAATATAATTTAATGGGCGAAATAGAATAATGAAGACTAGAGATAATCTGAATATATTATGAATAAGGACCATTTAAAGATCTATATTAATTTCATGTGTTGGCACCTTGGTCTAAAAAAAATTTGTATTATTTCTGTATGCACAAGGAAAGAATATACTTTTTCGTCAACTGATGGAACATTTACAATAATTAGTTATATTGGGCCACTGAAGAAACCTTGTAAAGTCAAATTTTCTAACCATAACCCAGTAAAACTAAAAACTTTTAAAGTTATTAATAAAAAACTATAACCACTTAGAAATTAAAAATTATTTTTTCTAAATAATGGGATAAAAGATCAATTCTATATCCTTGTTTAGAATATAATGATGAAAAACGAATGGGTTGTGGCTCAAGGTGAGTTAACAGTAATAAAGTAGCCTTAAATATATTCATTACCAAATAAGATAAAAGAACAATGTATGATATATGCATAAAACAATAAAATGTCAAAGCAGGAAGCTTGGATTAATCAAATCTAAAGACTGACTCTTCAATAAAATAATAAAAACCCTAGCTATTTTAATTGTAAGAAGAAAAAAAATTAACACTAAACTGAGCATTTGTGTTAATCAGCTATGGGCAATTTGTTTTTTTTGTTGTTGTTTTTTTTTTTTTTTTTTTTGGTCTCTTTTCATACTGGTTGAAGTCCTTTTGGAGTTTTCTTTCTGTCCTTAGTATCAGAATAGTTGTGATTTTCCTTAACAGTAGTTTTTTTCTCCTCCTTCTCCCCCTCCCTCCCTTATCTAATTCCTCCCTCCCTCTTCTTCCTCTCTCTTCCTCCTTTCTTCCTCCTTCTTCTTCACCTTAGCCAGTGCTGCAGATTTTGCATTGGAGAAATTTGTGATATAAAGTTGAAAACACAAATATGAACTCAAGAGTAATATATTTATGAGACTCAAGTATTTTTATATTAGTTTGCTTTTTGATTCTGTTTTATGTCTGTATTCTTATTTTGCTCTTCTCCTTTTCATCTATCTCTAACTTGTATTTGTTTTCTATATTTGAGAGTATTTTGTAATACTTTATAAGCATGGATAATGGAATATAGATAAGAAAAAAGATAATGGTATTATTAAATCTTAGTAAAATTTGAAAGCATAAAAAAGGAAATAAACTGATATATTTATAATCATAATTATTTTAATTTTATTTTTAATTCTGACTACATTTTAGGCATAAGGGTATGCTTACTAACAAACTATAAATTTATTTTTCATCTACTCTCTCTATATATATATATATTTTTTTTTTTTGAGACAGAGTCTTGCTCCATCACCCCAGCTAGAGTGCAGTGACACGATCTTAGCTTAATGCAGTCTCTGTCTCCTGGGTTCCAGTGATTGTCCTGCCTCAGCCTCCCATGTAGCTGGAACTACAGACACGTGCCACCATGCCTGGCTAATTGTTTTTGTATTTTTAGTAGAGATGGAGTTTTACCATGTTGACCAGGCTGGTTTCGAACTCCTGACCTCAGATGATCTGCCTGCCTCGGCCTCCCAAAGTGCTAGGATTACAGATGTGAGCCACTGTGCCCAGTTATATTTGTTTTATCAAATACTTTTTCCTCTATCATTGACATCAGGAAGGAGACCGCTTAAGTGATGAAGATCTCTACAAATTCCTTGCTGATATGAGAAGGCCATCTTCTGTCTTACGGCGACTAAGACCTATTACAGGTATTTTAAAATGTTGAGTAGAAATGATTCCAGCTATTCTTATCACTAGTATGTTGTATTGCTTATAATTATGTATTCTTTTTTTTTTTTTTAATTTATCTGGCTCAGACATTTTTCTATGCTCAATGCCTGTCAGTCTTCTTCACTTTATTAACTATCGTGTGATCTGACAGTTTGGATGCAGGATTCAATATCTTTGGTACTTTGAGTACAGTAGTCCCCACTTGCCTGTTGTTTCACTTTCTTTAGTTTCAGTTACCTGTAGTCAACCACAGTGTGAAAATATTAAGGTATTTGGAGAGAGGGAGAGAGAGAAAGAGACCACATTCATATAACATTTATTATAGTATATTGTTATAATTGCTGTGTTTTATTATGAGTTAGGGTTATTAATCTCTTACTTTGCCTAATTTATAAATTTAACTTTATTGTAGGCATGTATGTATAGGGAAAAACAGTATCTATAAGGTTGGGTACTCTCTGCAGTTTCAGGCATCCACTGGGGGTTGGATCTTAAAATATATCCCCAGCAGGTAGTGGGGGGGAATTACTGTACTAAAGTGAGTGTGATTAATAATATCATGGCTTAAAATTATTTTCTAGAATGGTAATAGAATGGTAAATATTTTAAAAATAGATTTATATTGTGGTTGGAGCAAACCATTCCAGAGTAAAAATGTCTTGAAGTTTGCTAACTCAAAACTAAGTCATTTAACCTTTGAAATGACTTAGCTTGTTTGTATGCCAGATCCCTGTGTTTTTTTTTCTATTTTTGCTTCTTCCTTCCTTCATTCCCATTCATTTATTTAATAAGCATTTATTATTTTACATGCATTTATGTCTGATTCAGTAATTTTTAAGTTTGAGACTTTGGAAAATGAAATGATTTAGAGGTGTGAGTTGATAATAATAGAAATTTGGTTTCTGTAATATTCTTCCCAGACTTCTTGCAAAAATAGGGTCTAAGTCCTTTCAAAAACATGTTTAACATGGAGTTTTAAAATTTTGTTTACATTGTTTTTTAATATATAATTTGCAGCTCAGCTCAAGATAGACATTTCTCCCGCACCTGAAAATCCCCATTATTGCCTAACTCCGGAGCTGCTTCAAGTGAAACTTTACCCTGACAGTAGAGTTAGACCTACCAGAGAAATCTTAGAGTTTCCTGCAAGGGATGTTTATGTTCCAAACACTACTTACAGGTAAGAGATTTTAATTTGGAGAATTCTGATAGAAGATACTGTATATTCTAAAATACTAAAGTATAACAAAAATAAAACTCTCCAAAAATCTTAAGTAGTTTTGTTACTTAACTCTATCTCTTACTGCACAATTTTATTAGTAATTTTCACGTATTAAGGCTTTCTGTCTGTCAGGTATAATGTTAATTACCTTACATGCTTTATCTTTTTTAGTCTTATTTAATCCGCATTGCTTGGGGTGAATTTTAGCTTTATTTTAGAGGCGAGTAAACCGAGGGTTAGAAAGGTTAAACATTTTGCTGAGCATCACGCCTTAGCGTGGTGATGATGGGATTTGATTCCTGGGCTCTTAGGTTAAAACATTTGAACTCCTAATTACTATGTTTTCTCAAATGTTTTTAGTAGCAGAATCTAGCATTACACAAGAATCAAATTTATGTGCCTGCATTATGTTCTTTTTTTTTTTTTCCTGAGGCAGAGTCTTGCTCTGTCGCCCAGGCTGGAGTGCAGTGGCGTGATCTCAGCTCACTGCAAGCTCTGCCTCCCGGGTTCACGCCATTCTCCTGCCTCAGCCTCCTGAGTAGCTGGGACTACAGGCGCCCGCAACTGCGCCCGCAACCACGCCCGGCTAATTTTTTGTATTTTTAGTAGAGACGGAGTTTCACCGTGTTAGCCAGGATGGTCTCGATCTCCTGACCTCGTGATCCGCCCGCCTCGGCCTCCCAAAGTGCTGGGATTACAGGCGTGAGCCACCGTGCCCGGCCTGCGTTATGTTCTAATCAATCAACAATATTTGTTGAGTATATACTATCTAGAGAATACTTGACATGAAGTTGTCAGATATAACTTTTCAGGCTGAACATTAGGTAACTCTGGGGGTGCCATTTGCATGTACTCCTTATGAATGATATACCCTTTGCTTGTGAGTGCTGAGACCAGAACTTGACATGTCTGTTGGGATATTCAACAGGGCAGCTCGGGTATAAGATTCTAAAACAGAATTTTAGATTTCATCCTAGACTTCGCCATCCTGGTATATTTTTACCACCATTTACTGAGTTCCTGAGGACAAAATTTTTGGAATTATTATGATTTCTTTCCTTTCCTTACCCCTCACATTTATTTAGCCAACAAGTTACATAGGCTCTACGTTCAAAATATATCCTGGTCTGTACTGCTTACTGCTTCCACCTTTTAAAACTTCTAGTCTGTCACCATCTAGATCAACACTGCCAAACAGAAATATAATGGGAACCACATTTGCAATTTAAAATTTTGTAATTGCTACTTTAAAAAAAGAAACAGGTAAAGTTAATTTTAATCATATATGTCATCTAAACCAGTGTATCTAAAGTAGTATCATTTCAACATGTAATAAATGTTAAGAATTATTGAGATATTTTACTTCTTTTCTCTTCTGCTAACTTCAAAATCTGGTGTGTATTTTATACTTAAAACACATTTCAATTCAGATGAGCCACATTTCAAGTGCTTAATAACCTGAGGCTAAAGGCTACAATATTGGACAGCCTCTGATCTCGAATTTTGCTATCCTTTCTAATTTGGCTATCTTATTTCTACTTCTGTCTCAGTCACTTCTCAGTATTACAGCCAGCCAGATAATTCTTTGAAAATTGTAAATCAAATCATTCATTCCTTTGTCTGAAATCTTCCAGTGTTTCTATTACAAGCAGAAAAAGAATGAATTTTTTCTAATAGTCTATAAGACAGTGCATGATTTGGCTCCTTTTCTATGTGTTAGCGCTGAAACTCTCTGTAAAACTTCTTATAGTACAGTGAAATACATCAATAATCAACTATTTCCTCCCTTGCAGAGGAAGTTTTGTAGGCTTTTTAGGCTCACTGGACAATTGTCATCTTAGAGCCTATTTACTATTATCCTGGAAATTTTCTTTGCATTTTTTTTTTTTTTTTTTTTCAATAGATAGAGTCCTTATTTTTCATTTATTTTCCTTAGTTTACTCATTTCACTGAAAGGCTTTTGTATCTTTTGTATCTTTTTTTTTTTGAGACGGAGTCTCGCTCTGTCACTCAGGCTGGAGTGCAGTGGCGGGATCTCGGCTCACTGCAGGCTCCGCCTCTCGGGTTCATGCCATTCTCCTGCCTCAGCCTCCCGAGTAGCTGGGACTACAGGCGCCCGCCACCTCGCCCGGCTAGTTTTTTTTTTTTTTTGTATTTTTTAGTAGAGACGGGTTTCACCATGTTAGCCAGGATGGTCTCGATCTCCTGACCTCATGATCCGCCCGTCTCGGCCTCCCAAAGTGTTGGGATTACAGGCTTGAGCCACCGCGCCCGGCCGATTTGTATCTTTCTTAAGTAGGATGTATGGGAGGTAAATTTTCTTTTATGTCTGACGTTATCTTTATTTTACCTTTACTCTCAAATTACTAGTTTTGCCGGGTATAAAATTATAAATTCTATTTCATTTTCTATCATAATTTTGAAAATATAACTACTGTCTTCTGGCTTTAAGTAGTGCCCTTGAGTAGTCCGATATTATACTGATTGCTAATGTTTTGTGTCTTATTTTTCCCTAAGACTTTTTGAGTTACTTTCTTTATCATTGGTGTTCTGCGATTTCATATTGACATATTGATATGATGACATTTATTTAGTGCTTTATAGAATACAATTTCATTTAAATTAGTTTATTCAGTCTCATAGAAATCTTATGCATTATGTAATTCTGGCAGTATTATTATCTCCACTTCTACAGTGACAGAAGGCTGAATTAAGAGACTTATTTGGACTTGAACCCAAACCTTCTTATTTCATTTTCTGTGTTCTTCATCCTTTGGTATGGTAGGACATCTAGCATTCATAATTATATGTAATTTGAATAAAAATAAAATTTCTTACTGGTAGAGAATTGTTTGCTATTTTTTTTATTAAAACTAACCAGAACACCTTTATCTTACATTAGCCTCAAAATCTACACCATTATTTATATTTGCTTAATATTTTTTAATGTCTTACAATTGATGTAAGTGAAACACTTGATATAAATGGATTCTAGGGTATCTTGTCTGTGAATTAATGGAAAATAGGGCCAATATAGATAATTTAGACATGTTACAGAACTTGAATGGGAATCGAGTAGCGCGCTCATACCACGTGAGAAGATATGTTGCCAAATAAGGTAGCACCTTGTTTTCTCTTAAGGATGTATCCAGTTTTAATGTAACATCCTCTTCTGGAGGAGATAAAAAGTTCATACATTGAATGATTTAAGGGGATTTTATAAATTATAAGTTAGTATGGTTTTGCTTTTTGAGTTTAATGGAAATTATGTAAACATGTATTAATGCTTGTTTAAGATCATTTGTTTATTTGGGTTTGCTTTTGGTTTTTAGGGTGGAATGCTTTATCACTTGAAGTGGTTAGTATTAGTAAGGCTAACTGATAGTCCAAAAACTATAATTAGTTTCTATTCTGGGAGTTAAATTTTTCAAGTATAAAAATGAATTATAGCATATTAATTTGAGAATGATGTTGAGAGATCATTTAATGTATCTCAGTGCCTTTAGTTTGGACTGTATCTAAACATTCTGTTAATTACAGAGTTAATATTCATTCCAGACATTATTAGTAAAAATAATATTGTAGGCAAGAAGCTTTTAAAAAAGGATTCATTAAATGTTTATAGAATAGCCATTTTTCTCTCATGAGTGAGCAGTTTATTTCCGGAAAGTAATAGAACTTGCTAAGCTCATCATAAACATTAGAGTTACGCCTATTTAACATTTATTGAACATGAATACTGATTTAGGCTTTAATGTTTTTCATCAAAATGAATTGATTTCAAATTAGGGTCTTACATAACCTTATTCCTCCTTATGTACAGTTTATAAGGAACTTATATAAAATGCTTTAATCTGTTAACAGACATTGATGAAATGTGATATAGAATGTCAAGGGTACTAAGTTTCTTAGTTTATGGAAATGATCCTAGTGCTCTCTGTTAGTGGCATGTACCAGTGAGAGCTGTTGGAGCAAAAAGGATGCATTATTTTGTTTAAGAAAGAGATTAATAATTTTCTACTATAAGAGTGTCCTCAGCGAAGTAGAGAAAATTAGATACAACTTGAAAATTCAGAAGTAGAATTGTGATTACTATACTTTGTTGACTTTTTTCCTGTTGTTACTTTTTTTGCCAAATAGTTTCTTTAAAAAAATATGATTATAAAGTTGACTATTCCCTTTTAAAAATAATCGATCTCCAAATTACATAAAGAAACAATTTTTGTGTTACTTGAAATGGTATGACTATATGTGTAGCTTATGAAAAATTGGGAGATGGGCTCTTGTAACCAATTTTTTGTAACCATATTTCATTTTTAAGAATTACGATAAGTTCTCACTTAAAATTGTTAATAGGTTCTTGGAAACTAAGATATTAAGCTAAATGACATGTGACAAAAACATTTTTTTTCTCATCAATGTTACAACAAAACAATGCTGAACAAAATGATATTCAAAAATCTGCTGCACATGGTCCTTAAAGTCCTTCTCTTAAAGTCACAGTTTCCAAGAACATTATCCAGTGTCATAGTATGTATGATATTAAGTGAGGACTTACTGTATTTAAAACTGAGGAATGATTTTTCCTTCCTTTAACATGGGTATAATAAAGGTACCTATATCTTAGAAATCTATGAGGATTAAATACATGTAAAGTACATGGCACACAGTAATGCAGTACATATTAAGTGATCAATAGAAGTTGTTATTGTTTTTGGCTTGATTAGATCACATTTACTCATGCACTATACAACTTGAGAGAGATTGGTTTGAAAAGCGTGAGGGTACTAGGCATTTGGGATATAATTGGATAAGAGAATTATTTCAAAAGGGAAGTTATCAGAGTCAATATTGCCCTGCTTTATATTATTACTTAAACCATCAATGTCCATGGGACCTTAAAACCAAATCATTAAAGGTTGTTTACTCTATTTGATGTTGTTAGAAAAACTTGGTCT